TTTGAATGCACTTATTCTAGAAAGAAGCAAACAGTATCAAGATGCATTCAGGGTTTATTTAGAAACACATTTGTTACAGTGGTGTTTATCTTATATTACTCCACCTTTTATGCAACATTCAGAACCTTTTTGTGACATATATAGATGGCTCACATGAGCAAGGCCCTCTTGAAGAAGGGGATTATCTTGAATCACTCTACTGCAAAAAAAAGACCCTCTTTCTCTGGAGGTTCAACATCCCAGAAAATCTGAGAATATGGGTATTTAACTGGTTTTCTCTTCTTCTGAAAAGTTATATTTTTGTAAGTACAACATAAAACTATTAATGAAAAGTGAAGCTTTTCTTGTCTCGACACGCACACAAATATTGCTCCTCAAGAGGCTGAGTGGAGATGTGAAGCAGTAAATATCCATTTTAATTTATACATACATATTTCTGAGCCCAAATTATTTAGCAATAACTATAATTTAATATTTCAGAGTCTTAGAAAAATACAATGGCTCTTGTTGCTGAATGTCTTGTTTTATTTACTGCATTCTAGTATATAGCTGACTTCACTAAGAAAATTGTACTGTTTAACTCACAGTCTGGTTTCACAAACTAATATAACAATATAATAACTCATTGTATTTGCAGTGCCAAGGCTCACAAATCCCTCACTTACATCACTTTGTAACTGCATCATGTTTTTGGCTAGCTCAAGGCTCATGGCATCAGGCAAAACATTGTAGGTATGGATCAAGCTTTTGTAGTTTGCGTTTGTAGCCACTTCCTGGGCTTTCTTGGCCGCCACAACACTGAACATGTCAACTGGAGTGTGGAAATTGGTCTTTGCCTTCTCATAATCTTTTTTGTATTCTCTATCAGATTGCATCTTAGCCACGTGCATGAAGTGCACCAGCTTGGGGTCATCTTCAAGGCTGCGGAACCCAATGTGCTTCCCTTTCGCTTTTTCGTAGGCGAGTTTGTACTTATACTGTCGGCAGGAAAGAGAAAGAACAGCCAAAAAAAATATTAACTTTTTAAAAAAAGCATTACCAAGCACAATTTTACCTCTGAAAATATAGAAAATAGTTGTTCTGTTTCAGCACAAGATCTCAGGTTTAGTCAAATGCACTCAGTCTTACTAAATAGCCCGCAGGACATGGTGAAGCTTGCTGAACAAAGAGCCAAAAAGCTCTCCAGTGGAGTAACACTGAATTATGCAAGTGCTGCAGAGGTTTATCCCATCAAGCATAAAATTGAAACCTGGTCATCTCAAGACATTCAAACAATCATATTTCCACGTAACAGAGCACTTTGAAAATGTTCTGACTGTACCCTGAGTACTATCACACAGTCAAACTTACATCACTGGCGATGTCCCTGGAGGCTTTGGCTGCTTTGATTGGAATAGCATCTGGCTTCAGGTCATAACCTTTCTTCTTGTCTTTCTCCCATTCAGCTTTGTAAAGTTTCTAATTTAAAATGTAAAAAAAAATAGAACAGGTGCCCTGTTATGAAGGCAGAATAACTGAAGTTGCCTACCTCTGAATTTATTTTTTTTAAAAAAAAAAAGACAAAAAACATTCAATGCAACAGACATTGGATGCCCCTTCTGAACATGGTAACTCACATTACTCATGGTGATCTGATTCACTCTAGACTGCAGAATTTCTGGAGTATCTGGCATGACATGGATGGTGGTCTTCTCCTTGTTCCATTTATCTGTGTAGAGCCTCTGCAATTACAAAGTAATATTTAGCATTAAAAGGGCATTGCATTCATAAAATAAGAGCTTGGTTTTGTTTTACTCATTTGCAATGAATCATATTTTGCAGGACACTAAAGTTCCATAAGCACTACAAATAATCTTCACAAATAACTGCCAAGTGGCAATATTATATTCCTTCCCTTTCTTTAGTTCTTTATTTGAGAAACTTGACAAGTATGTTTTGAAGACTAATAAATATTGAAACTGCAGATTTGCAGTTTGCATTCTTCCCTGCTTTAATGCAAAGCAGAAATTATTTCTTCTTTTCCACCCATTCACTTTCCATGGCAAACATGGGATAAGGATCAGTGGTGTGCCAGATAACTAGGGATTAATTCAAAGATTTCCATTTCAAGGAAATGAAATAAAATTTCAAGGAAATCCTAATTTAGATTTGCTTTTCAAGGAAGCTTGTACAAAAACTGACAGAATTTCAGTGGGTTTTCAGCTCACTGATTGTGAATGCTACTCCATGGAGAAAAAGAGTTGCCAAAGAACTAGAAAACATCTTTAATTACATACACAAAAAAGAGATCTTTAATCTTTATAAATAGAAAATAGAAATCCCTTAACTGTGAATACAATCTGAGGCTTCCACCACCACTCAGTGTCCAGCCTTAACCCAGCACACCACTGTACCTATTTGAAATTCTAATGACTTCAGTGGAAATGGACCTGCCCCAGGATTTTACAGGACAAAGACCCAATCTCTGGCTCAGTCATGACCATTTGATCCTTTCTCACCTTGTTCATGGTCTTGGCATTTTGCCTAGCCAGCACTTGTTCCATTGCATCTGTTGGAATGGAGAACTTCAGTTTGTCTGGGGCCTGGCGATACATCTTCTCGCTGAGGATCTGTGTGGCTTTTTTGGCCTTTTCCACATCCAGGGACTGAAGTGGTACCCAACCAACTCCTTTCAACCAGTTATTAAAGTCTGCTTTGTACAAATTCTTTTGAAAAATAGGGAAAAACACAGTGAGACAAGGAAAATTAGAAATGCCTTTATAAATACAAACAAGTAAGGCTTTAAATCTTCTCCCAGTCATCAATTTTTTAAGGAAATTTTAGACAAGCCTGTTATAACTATTTTTTTCCAAATTCTAAGCCCAACATTAACAATTATTGATGTGATAGGGATAAAGAAATTATTTTCACTAAACCAGAGTGTGGAGCTCACACTACAAACCAAATACACAGCCCTTAAAGCAAATTTTGAGTGCTAAACATGAAAATCTGACAAAAATGTTTTTAAATAAAACTCTTGTTTGTTGCTAGACTCAGTTTGAAGTAGAATTAATTCAGAGAAATTGCTTCAATGTCTTCTGCTTAACAGCCTGGTTCTGCACAATCTTGAACAGACAATACTCCTATTCACTCATACTTCAGAACATGGCTTTCAGAACAGATAAAAGTACAAAAAATAAACTACATATTTTCTGGATATATAAGCAGACCCTGAAGTTATACTAGTGAAAAAAATGGGAAGGAGTCATAAAACTTAAGGGAAACTACAAAGCTTTTTTATGAATCCTTATTCATGCATGGCATGTGCATCTGTTGGAGGATAAAGGCAGGAGGGAAAAGTGAGCAAAATAAATACATCTCAAATCCCTAGATATTATACAAACATGCATAAAGTCTATTTTCAGAAAACTTAAATAAAATACAGTCAGAATTTAGACTCTGTATATAAACTACAGTCTCTGACAACACAAATAATAACCACAGTTATTTACATATATATATAACAATCAGAATTAACACAAATCCAACTAAAAAGAATAAATGAATTAGAAAAAGATGTTCATTGGCTTAGAATTAGTCAAACATGTAGAGATACAAAGAAAGGTGTTACTTGCTAGATGAGTTCCCTAGGACTTTTCAGCTCCACATAATTTGGACAATCGTTGGAAAATACAGATTTCCAAACCAACTGTTTACATCTCAATCTACTGTTAACCCAATCTAGTTCTTTTTTTAGCTTTAGAAGGTTAATACTGTAACACAGTCTTTATGAGAATAAAAAAAAGGGGCTGATGAATCATTACATACATCACTTTGAAGCTGCATTGCATTTTTTGATAGCTCCAGGTTCACGGCGTCAGGCAAGAGTGTGTAATTGTGGATTAGCTGCTTATAGCCAGTGTTGGAAACTGCTTCCTGGACTTTCTTGGCAGCTGTCACACTGAACATATCCAGAGGAGTATGGTATTTGGTCTTGGTGGCTTCATAATCCTTCTTGTACTCACGATCTGACTGGATTTTGGCCACATGCATGTAATGGACAAGTTTCGGGTCATCCTGCAGGCTCCGGAATCCAACCTGCTTGCCTTTGTCTTTCTCATAGGATTCCTTGTACTTGTACTGGAGACAGAGGAAAAGAAAGTCTTAACCACTTTGGAAAGAGAAAATATACTCTTGGTAATGTTAATACTTTAAATCTCAATGTTTTAACCACTGCAGTTCATTCTATAAACCCATACATTGTTTTTCTGATAGCACAGGATTAATTAGGTCAAAAAAGGAAAAGGGTTGTTGGATTTCTCAGCTTGTCTTGACCCCTGGTATGGACCTGAAACAAGGTGTGCAGTTACATCCTCTCCCTCACCATAGACACAGCCATAGATGTCTAACTCCCAGAAACATTCAGCTTTTAATTAAAAGATTAGCATAATAACATATTATTGAGAAGCCCAAGGCTACCAAGCAATTAGATATGCCAATATTCAGCTATTGAAGGGATGCAGGTTTAAGTGGGGAACAGAAAGGATTTGCAGCCTTCTGCTAAAGTTAGGGAATTTATTTCCATGTTCCAAATCTCCTTCTATAGCTGGGGTCAGCAAGTTTTACTGCTGCCTGTTGACACAGCTGCCTGAAAACAGCCACATTTCTGCAGCTTGTGAACTCCAGGCAAGTAGAAGCACAGGTCTCCAGCAATTAATGCAGCACAGGTAAATTAGAACAAAGGAGCTTTCAAAGAAGCTGGTGAATACTTGAAGCCCACAGGACAAAGAGCCCAGCTCCCCAGGACTTTTCTTCATGTGCTGCAGAAAGCTGTGATGTAGATGTATGTGTTCTGTAGATGATACTCACATCACTTGCAATGTTTCGAGAAGCTTTGGCAGCGATGATGGGGATGGCATCTGGTCTCAGGTCATAGCCTTTGGCAATGGTTTTCTTCCAGTCTGCTTTGTAGTTTGACTTCAAACCAAAAAAAAAAAGAAAGCTATGAGTTTGTGATGTTACAAGTAGCAATTTTAAGAAAATTGTTTAAGCTCATAGGTTGATTGTAATTTTAGGACTAAAAGGATTCAGTTTAGTCTGTGGGATTGCAAGGAAAAATAGTAACCTGCACAGAAATTACAGTTATATTATGATGATTAAATCTACTAAAAATATGAGAGTCCTTCAAGACAATCAGTTTAAATAATGTAGCTAAGTCATTAACTCAATAAGCATTTTTTGCCATTTCTGTGTGAAGCAACTCTATCAGTGGCATTTTGGCCCTTGCTTAAGCAAACCCTTTTTTCATTTGACTGAACCTTCAAAGAATTTTTTCCCCATTTGCTTGAAAATCAGGCCTTTTGGTCTTCAGTGACTGAAGAGAGCAGTCTGGCTGATTTTTTGTTAGCTGTTGGTATCTGGACAGACTAGAATTTCAAGGCTATTAAAAGAGATGTCAGTTTTTACCTAGTTCCTGGAGACCTGATAAAGCCACTAAAAAATTTAATATCATGAAGGCAATAAGACTGATACTGTCAGTGGAGATCTTGATGGATGCAAGAAGTGATGGAAATGGTGGGAAATGGCTTTGTCTATTCACTGGATGAGTGAATTTTCATCAAAAGCCCAGCAGCAGGACACAACACACAGAGGACTCATACTGCTTGCCTGTGCAGTGTGTTTGATGTAAAATTAGATGACAGAAGCTTCCAAACCTATAGGAATCTGAATAATAAGTCACTCTGGTTTACCTCATTCAGCCTATCCAATAAATCCTCTTCCAATAAAACACTCAAATGTGTTTCTGTTCATCAGCATTCAGTTTTAAAAACATGCTTGACAAGCACAAAACTCATTGTCTTCTAGAAGTAAAAGTTCAGCTGCACTCACAGCTTGTGTATTTGTCTATTCAACATCACAGCATGAATAAGTAGTTATTTTTTCAATGAAGTAAATGACAAATAAATATATTATTGAACAAACTATTGGTTATATGCTCACATCACTCAAATTGAAGGCGTTGACCCTGGCTTGGATGAACTGAGGAACATCAGGATCCAGGGTGTATTTGTGCTTTACTTTCTCACCCTCTTTCTTATATGTTACCTGCAAGGAAAAAGAAACAAATACCTGTTGTCAAGCACAAGGTAGGCAGTATTAGTGTCAACAAATAGAAACAGTGCTTACCCACAACAATCCAACAATTCTTACCCACAAATGGCAATGTTACTATTTGTACAGTTTTTAAAATGTAAATTTATTTCTTTTTTTTTAGATGGAATAGCAGAGAGCAAGGTAGAAATCATAAATTGGGTAAAAAAAAACAGTCATTATATTGCATTAATAATGAAAATCCTCTTACATCACTCAGTTGCTTGGTGTTGTGCTGAGCTAGAAGCATTGGTATGGAATCTGCTACACTGGTGAACTTGATGGTGTCTGGGTGCTGACGATATTTCTTCTCATTTAGAGCTTCTCCAGCCTTTTTAGCCTTTTCAACATCCAGAGAACCAAGAGGACTCCACCCAATCCCCTTTAACCAGTTGTTGTACTCTTCTTTGTATGCATTCTAGAGGGGAGATAAAGCCAACACAGATCAAGATTTGGCCACAGAAGTGTAATAATTCTGTTTAAAACAATAATCACTTAGCCTAGTTAGTGTGTCTTATACTAACAGGAAATACTTATAAATTCTTGAAGGGAACAACAGATCTTGAAGTTTGTCTGTGACTTCATTAAAAAGAAAATGAGCTAATGTTATTTTTTGATTCATTATTGTTTTCTCATACACTGTAACATCCCTTCAGCATTTACTAAACTTCCTTTTCTTTCACCCACGTGACAATTTTCACCAACCTTCAATTCTTAAAAACTTCTAACCTACCACGTGGTGATCATTTAACATGGTTTAATTTGTTCTGTGTTCAGCAGACTCTGGGAATCTTGGCCTTATGCAAAGGCTCCATTTTTGGTTCTCTTCCTACAGTAAAAATATGCAGAATTGACAGACAGCAAGTGACAAATTTATCCTGGCTAGAAAATATGCAGAAAATGACCAATATAAACATTCAGAGAGGGTTAATGCACAGTCTGAATGCAAGGCTATTGTGGACACTATTTTTAAGACTCTAAAACGTGTGGCCCATAAAAATAGGGGTCTAAACTAGAAAAAAAAAACTGTGGTTTTCCACAATTGGTAGAAAAAAACCAAATAAAATTCCACAGCATACAACCAGGTGCAGAGTTCAGCTGTGTAGGTCCAGGCAAGCATCTGAAACTATCTGCCAGAAGGACCAAGAAGGTCCTAGGAGAGGCTTCCTGTGCTATAGATCTCCAGAATGTATTTCTAATAAAATCTATAGTTACACTTTGTCCACTTCTTCATCCTGAATAGTTAATAATAATCCAACTACACTATCTGCCTCATGTGAAGGCAAAGCAAGACAACTTGAAAGAAGTCTTAAAGAATCAACCAAAATTACATTGCAAACCAAAGTTTTCTGCAGAAATGAAGGAAACAAACAAAGTTGATCTGATTTCAATATTCTAGAAGTCTGCTTTTTACTGATACACCAACAAAATCCTGGAATCTGCTATTTCTAAATGCCACCACCAGGTGATAAAA